CGGCCCCACCTGCGGCGAACCGGACCGGCTTTCCCCGGGTAGCCGAGCACATCCACCCCTCCAGAGGCAGTGGCAAGGGGCGAAGCGCGGCCCTACCGCGGACACGGCCCCGTCCCGGCAAAGCCCCCCACGCCGCCGAGGAAGGGCTGTTGGGAGGCGACGGTACCTGCAAGGGCTCCGTTGCTGCCGCGCTACCCCCACCACCTCCCGGCCGGCCAGGAGCCGCACCGCGAGCCCGCAGGAACCCCCGGCCGCACCGCCCCAGCCACGGACACGGCTCCACATCGTGCCCGCGCCGCTGCCACCGCGGCGGTCCGTCCCCACGCGTGCTCTTCCCGGCGCCGCCGGCTGGAAAAAGCTGCTGAGCCGAGCGTTCCGCACACCAGCGTTCCGCCCGGCTCGGCGCTGCCGGTGCTCTGCCAAAACCATCCCGGTCGCTCGGCGCCAGGGGCCGCAGTCGCATAGAGCAAATCTCCCTTGTGAGGCATGTAAGGGTTGAAGACACCCAAGAGCTTCGGGGAAGCTGCAAGAGCAGATACATGCAAGGGTTTCTTTTGGGGCTACAAAGCACCTACCTTTAACGATTATTTTGAGGAAACAAAACGAGAAAGATTCGTGTCTATTAAGTTCAGGTGTCTCATCGGATGGTTCCCGTTATTTCCATCACTGAATACTCATTAAACTGGATCCACATTAGAAACACCAGTCCTGCCCCAGCAGGGGAGTGGCCCACACATGCCGGTTTTGTAAGACTTCAGTATGTAGATTTAAGATCACAAAAGAGTTATTTTTTAGACAGTACAGATGAGGACAAATGAAACAGCACCATCCAGAACTGTGCTGCCATCGTATCTCAAGACCAAAGTTACCTCTCCAAAGGACAGATGATTTTTTATGTCAGAGTGTAAGCTGCTTTAAGAAATTCAGAGGTTGATTCCTTTACAGCCACCTAATTCAAGTGTCTCTCACCTATCTCTAAAGCTTGCGGTACTGAAAACATTAAATGTAAAACAGGTTTCAGCCTGTACAGAGCTTTTGATGCATGGCTGGTTCCACAGTGGTGTTTTGGCACCCAGCTCCTGTTCGCTGCCTCACTTCTTGCCATTTTCAGAAGGAGGTCGGGTGCCCAAGGGACCTGATCTCCTTCTGGCTCTGAAGGTCAGAAGACCCTCTCTGCACCCAGCACAGCTGCTGTGCTTTTGCCCTTGTGCTTGCTTTCCAGCTGTGTGGCAGATGTCAACCCGTAGCTCAGAGGTATATGTAGGAAGCACAAGCCAGTAAGGGAAAGGGAAGAGAACCTTCTTTTTTTTCTGAACAAAATCTGTCCACATCTAAAGAATAACTGGGCTTATAAATAACAAAGAGATGAAATCTGGTGGTTTTCCAGCCTCTGCTCCAGGTTATGCCCATGGTGGTTGTGGGGTGTCCAGCCCAGGGACAGAAACATACAGTGGGGATCTGCCTTGAGGCCTGTAGCTGTTGCAGAGGAAAATGGCTTCGTGCTGTGAGCACAAATACTAATGAGAACCCTGATCTAGCTGAAAAGGATCAGAGGAACTTCAGATATACCGGAAATGCAAAGAAAATATTGGGTCTGGCTCAAGTCAGTCTAAAACCAAACTGCAAACAAAAATCCAGTGAACTGGGAACTGCTACTCTTGGCCAGCTTCCTCAGACTCTGTCTGACTTGTGGCAGTACTCAATGCCTGTGTGCTTTTTGTCCTTCAAGGTTGGGGGGTTTTGTTGATTTGTTTTAATTTGTTCGGTTTTGTTTGGTTGGGGTGTTTTGTTTTTTTTTGGGGGGGGAGGTTGGTGGTGGCGGTGTTTTTTTTCCTATTGCATGCAATAGCAATTTCAAAGTGCCTTTTTTTACCTTTGATACACAAATGTCCCATACTTCCCAGACAAAGATCTTTTAATCTAGGTAACTTCACTAACAAATTACTCTTACTCCTAAAAATCCACTCTTTCATCACACTTTCATCCATGCAAATGCTAGTTATCAAGGATATTAAGCAATCGAAGGAAAATTATTTATTGTGCAAAGTACAGAAAACAGAACACGGCAGAACAATTCTCATAGTGCAAAGAAGCATCCTTCCTCCAAAGACCTCTCTCTGGTGTGGCTTACTGTGCTGTAAATCAGACCCATAGCCTAAGCCAGACCCCTCCAATACCAGAAAGCACTTCCATATTCCTGCTGAGCACTTACAAACCAAGATCTCTGCAAGCACGTCCCATTTCTGCCCTGCCTAAATATTTTGAGGGGAAGCTTGAAATTAACCTACAAGTTGTCCACTAGCACCTCCACGCAGGAAGTATGGTTTGGCTTAGTAGACTAAGGGTGCAGGCAGCAGAAACAGCCATGTGGTGGCAATGTGCTCATTGTAGTGCTGCACTTCACAGCTACAACATATCTCGGGCAACATTTCAAGTAGTCTCACCATCTCGGTGTTTTGTACAGGGTCCAAATAAGAACAAGACCGGTGGTCTGCCCGAGGAACGGCATTATGGAGAAACATCCTCAAATACTCCAGGCCTGATGTTCCAGCAGCAAACGGCAAGAGCAGGCAGCATGCAGTTTAATGGCGTATTAGTTGCAAGCTTCAGTGCATGAGAGTGCTTTTCACCAACTGGGTCTTCCAACAGTCCTGCTAAGAAGGAAGTCAGTACACAGGTCAATTCTTTGAGACTAAACAGTGATCTCTTAAGTATTTCAGGTCATTTGAGATGCACAACTAACTCCAACCACTAACTGGTTACCACCTCTCAGCAATCATTTCTACATTGAAGTCAAAATAATTTACAATTTAATGTATTGTTTCTAAACCCATTTATAACCTAGCTTGCTCTTCCTTAACAATTGCCATATTTTGAATAATAGCCCTAAACCATTAAAAAGAATATTTCAAGAAAGTAGCTATCTAGAAAAAAATTAATCTGAACCCTACAATTAATTAAAAGTGATGAGGGGAAATGTACATTCAGCTTTCTGGTATTTATAACAATTTTTTCTTGGCTTGGGATTTGAAAGTAGGAGCTGTCAGTTTTATCTGGTGGAAAACACCATGGATGTAAGCACAAATACGTAGCTCTGAGGTCTCAATCCATGCAAACACATGTGCAGCTCAGCAGGGCTTGCAGGCATACAGCACTGCCCAGAAACACTGCCTGGTCCGGCAGAGTATCTCAAGTATTACTGATCACTGAGGCACATTAGAAATACAGTTCATTTAGCTTTGCACAGGCTGCACAGTGTCCTGCTGCGCTCAACTGGGCACTGCTTCAATGAGCCTTATAGCAAGCACTTCACTTAATTGCTAATCAAAAGAAAAGGGGTAAGGGGGAGGGAGGTAGAGTTCTGTGTAGTTTTAGCTGAGGAAAGTGGTATTAGCCCTCATCACAGTGGTTTAAGCCACTACATGCCCACTTCATATTGCCAAGAACCTAGGAGCACAAAACTGGTATCTCAGTTTAGGAAAAGTCACTTGGAGATCAGCAGCAAATTGCTTGCAAATGTGTATGTCCAATTTAACGTGCTACAGGTCACTGTCGTTTATGCACCTATATAGCTAGGGGGTTTAGCAGATGGCAGAGCAGGAACACCTTTTATTTGTATCGCCACAATTATTTGATTTTTCAACCCCACTGAAGAGGCAGAAAAACCGTTTACTTTTGTCAATATCCAAGATGTCAGGCATATAACTGTAGACTGTAGGAGATTGCAAATGCTGTGTATTTATTATTTAAGTACAAATAGTTGTAAACTTGTATAGCTTGGTCCTCTAATACATGTGTTAAACTTAACAGGAATTTTGTATTTTGGGAAACAGGGCATCACAGCATCCTAGAGTGGTTTGGGTTAGAAAGGACCTTAAAGATATCTAGCTCCCCATCCAACCTGGCCTTGGAACACTGCCAGGGATGTGTTCACCAGCAACAGGGTTTCTAGGGGGGAAGTGTTACTGGATTCGAGCAGCAGCAGCCGCCCGAGTCTTGCTCTCACAGCCACGAGCACAGCCACCACTGGGCCCCGGTAGGAGCCTCACAGCCGCCCCGTCCAGGCCTTGGGGTTCCGGCGGGGACGCGGTGCTGCCGCCTGTGCACCCCGAACCCGGGTCACCGGCCGCTGGGCGTCTCCCCGCCCGCCCGGAGCCACCTCCCGCCGCCGGGGGCAGCGCAGGCCGACACCCGCCCAGCGCCTCCCCGGCCCTCTCTTTCCCCGGGGCCGCGGGGGAGCCGCGCCGCCTCCCTCGGCCGCCTATATAGAGGTGGCGGCGGGGCGGCTGGGGCCGGTGGTGTGCTCTGTGGTGAGTGGTGGTGGGGGGAAGCGGGAGGCTGCGGCTGTGTCCTCCCCGTTGGGGGGAGGAGCGGACCGGGAAGGCGCGGAGCGGAGGGTCCGTGGCCGGGAGCCGGGCAGCCCCGCCGCCTGTGGGCTTGCAGGCAAGCCCAGTTTGCGCCGCGGCCTTGGGGCTCAGCGGTATTGGAACTCCCCCGGAAAGCTGCGGGCAGCCTCCCTAGAGAGACATGAGGCCGGGGGTGCGGAGCTCGGCCGCCTCCTTCCGCGGCGGGCCTCTGCAATCCCCCCGGCAAGCGCAGGCCGCGGCTTTCCTGCGGTGAACGGGCGGTGTTCTGGGAGCAGGAATCGCTGCCCCTGCAGCCAAGCCTTCTGCTCCGGATGAAACCTGCCCCGCAGCTTTGCCTGCGGTCTGCCTAGTGAAGAGCCCCTTGCACCAGCCCAGCTGCGTGGTTCGCACGCTGTTGCAGTGCCGCTGGGGCATGGCCTGCTGTGACCTTGGGGAGGGGAGCTGTAGCCTGCCTTTGTGGGCTCTAGCAAGGAGCTGCGATACCTTCTGGGATTGTCACCTAGTGTTTGATGCGTGTGTCAGCCGAGAGTAACGTTTGGGGCTGAGGGTGGAGGAATCGGTGGTACCTGTGCCATTTACTAATGCTGTGTTTCCAGGTTTGAGTTTTGGACTCACTTTGGAAGTAGAGCAGTTGTTGCCTTTCTGAGCCTTGGATTCACTTTGGAAGTAGAGCAGTTTTTGCCTTGCTGGTATCTACAAGCAGTTTTTTATCTGCTAGTGTGGCTACAAATAGGAAAAAAAAAAAAAGAGGATAGGTATGTACATACATAATACTGGTTTAGTTTTCACTAAGTTGTGAACCTTCTGAAAGCAGCAATGTGCTTTTATGGATCAGGAAACTAAACTTTCTTGGCTTTTAAGCCGTACATGTTTGTGTAGGCATCTCTGGTTTTCCTTTTGCTGCCAGGCTTTCAGTGTGGGTCACTTGGCATGTGCGCCCTTTGGGGGCTGGCACAAGTCGGTAAGCACTCAGCATGATGCAAGCAGTGTACATTTTACTGAATGCAGGCAATTGTTGCTTGCTAGATCCCCTCCATAGGCTGCCCCACCTATCTGTTCTTTTCTGCCTTTACATGAAAAGCAAAACTGAAGTGCTGCATGAGCACTAATGAGGATAATGAAATGTAACTTGGTCATGGAGCATAACATATGGTCTTGAAATAACATGTAGCATACTTTGCTGTCAATAGTGAAACAGCTTACATCTGTAACGATAATTTGGGAATAGTATGTGCATTAGTGTCATTTATTACAAGAATAGTGATTGATTTATTTTTTTTTAATGCATTATGTTCAGATTCATGTGACGTGTACCGGACATGTGAAGTTACATGCAAACATCTGTGCTTGTCGTGTAAAAGTTCTACAAAGGATGAGGTTCATACAGTCTGATTTTTAGTTTTTCTTAATCTTTTAATTTAGCCTGTGGGAATTTGTGTTTCGTGTTCATATTACCCCAGAATACGTTTTGGCAGGCAACAGGCTTCAGAAGCAGCATTACAGTAGGTAGAAGAGTGAAAAACATCCTGTTAATTGATGTACTGTGCTTGAAGACAGGCTTAAAAGTCAATGGGGGGCTGAATCGTGTGTGTATTTGTGTGTTTGTTAAAGACTCATGCAACATTTTTGACAGCACCACCTGCCAAGTGTCTTGCTCAGAAACAGGGTTCTGGAACAGTGAGAGATCATTGACTCAGTGATCTTACTCCAGATAAGCAAGCTTGTTTTAGCTGCTCACCCAGTGAAAGCACCTTGCTGCAAACTTGAGAACTGAATTAATTTGAATGGTTTATTTGAAAGTGTTGCCCTTGTATTTCTGTATTTCTTTCCAGCTGCCTTCCTGAAAGTTGAGGTGTAATTCTTATTTGTAATATGCTATTGTGTGAGAGACTTGCACTGGGAACGTGACAGCCAGAAACAATTCTAGGTGTTCATATTCATTCGCTTTCTACTCATATCTTCCGAGAGCCACGTAGAAATACCTGATGTGTCTCAATTTATAGTTTTCTTAGCTGCTGTTCACCATGATGAGAGCAATTCTGTTTTGCTCTATAGGTGGGGAGCTGAGATGGGGTGGGGAAATATTCTTGCCAGCTAGCCTTACACAGCTGATGGATACTGTTTCTATAAGAAAGCATAGACTCAACTAGGTTGGAAAAGACCTTCAAGATCATCAGGCCCAACCTCTACCCCAGCACTGTGAAGTCCATCACTAAACCATATCACTGAGGGCTTCATCTTCACTGTTTTGAACACTTCCAGGGGCAGTGATTCCACCACTTCCCTGCGCAGCCTGTTCCAGTCCTGACCACCCTCTCGGTGAAGAAATTTTTCCTAATATCCAGTCTAAGTATCCTGTGGTGCGGCTTGAGGCTGTTACCTCTTGTCCTGTCACTCTTTTACTTGGAAAAAGAGATCAGCCACCTCCTCTCTCCATTCTCCTTTCAGGCAGTTGTAGAGATAGAAAGGTAATGCTCAACATTCTTCCCTGGAGGTACTCTGCTTTCATTTGAGACATCCAGGGAGACTAGAAGCTAGAAAGCCCAAGTAATTTGAAGCTGGGCAGTGGTACTCCAGAGGACTTGCATAACGTGGCAAGACTAGTCAGTCAGACTACAAATATGCCAAGTCTCAGTCTTGGGGACAAGCATTTTCTGCATCTAAATGTCATTGAAGAAGGTAAATTGAAGAGTGGAAGTGAAAGCATTCATGTGATGCTTCTACCTGTCAGTTATTGTGATAAGTCATGTATGCTACATCTTTCTTTTCCCTCAGGAGATAAGTACCTCCACATCTGCCAGGAAAGGGGAGACTTCACTCTGAAGTAACTGATAAGTGTGAAGCATGAAGATCAACTCTGCTATTCAGGCTGCTATTGACCTCACAGCAGGAGCTGCAGGTAATGCTGGAGAAAACTTAATTGCACAGAATTTCTTAGGGACAGTTTCAGTGCCTCTGACAACTGTAAAAACAGTTTCCTGATGCTATAAAAAGCCTCACTTTCCATGTTTTAAGGACATTGAGATGAAGCAGTTGATCTCAGCCAGTGTTGTAACTGCATCACTATTGCTGCTCCCTAGTGAAACCCCTGCCACATAGTGGAGGTGTAACCCTTATTTCAGACTAAGAGTTTTACAGAGGAAGGTTTAAGTTTCAGTGTTGGTTGTTACACTTGCAGGAGTTTAAGAATCAGTCACAAGTAGACTTTTGGAATGAATTCAAACTGTGTGAGGGATTGAGGTGCTGCTTTTGTCACAGGAACACTGTAACCGAAATGGACAAGAGAGGCTATCTGAAGAGTTACTGGCTCAGACAACATCCTGGTGTGAATCTTTAAAAGCTGGCAAGCTCAGTAATAGGACTGATGATGATGAACTCACTTAACTAACTTGCCCTTCAGTCTGGTCGGTGCTATAAAGTTTTGCTGGACCACTTGTGACAATCACAAATGTGGAAGCAGTTTCATTGTCTCATTAACATTACCATGTTGGTAATGTCTGTGGCTGACGGGTGAATTATTTACCTCTACCAAAGAAAAGGGGTCTATTTGACATTTCAAAGCTGGCAGTGTTTATCAGGAAAGGAGGAAGGGAAGATTTGTCTGATGATACTGTTCTGTGCCCACATTCAGGCTAACAGGGCATGCACTTGAGGTCTGCCTGGGTTTTGGCAGTAGAGAATCTTAGAACTAATTATGCTGATTTCTTCTCTGGTATAGTTCTCCTTTCTTCAGACAGGATGGAGGAATTCAGACCTTTTTCAGCTTGACTTCAGTAATCCTAAATCATTGTTCTTGTTCTTTTTCTTTGCTACTTTACTCTGCAATAAAACTACAGCTTTACTGTTCCTCTAATATTTATTTCCCATATTATTTCCACATACTTGCTTTGTATTGCTTATGTTCATTGGTAGTGCTCGTTTCTGTTTTATGAGTGTGTCTGCACCCTTTAGAGAGTGTATTTAACTAGGCAAACAGGTAGTTCCTCCAGCAAATGCATGACCTGGTTTTACCTTTCTCTCTGCATGCAGTCTCCGCTAGCTGATAAGTAATGACATATAGGGGCAAGTACATTCTGAACAAGAATAAATCATTTAGCTGCCTGTCGGTCAAAGTCCTTTGCCTAGCATCTGAGCAACCTCTGATCACTTCTTTGATTAAGTAGGACTCTTTCTCCACTGTTCCCATCTTACTATAAGGGCTGCATTTTTCTAAATGTTCAAGCAGGGTTGACTAATTTTTTTTCTGGTTTATTTGGTTTTGTTGTTTAGATTTTTTAGATTCCTTACTCCTGGCTAGAATAATTATTTTTTCCTTTAATATTTCAGACATTAACTGGGACTCTTGGTCTTCACCTTGAGGTAGAAGTTCATGGCTGTAGTTTACTTGTGCCACCTCCAATAAGGAGAGTCCTTTCTCTTTTTGGAACAGCTATTCACAGTCAACTCCCAATATTTAAACTTTGCATTCGCAAGACCATGCCTGGATTTCTTGGGCTTCTGCCAACACTTGTTATTTTATACATGTGAATGTTTTACATCTGCCTTCACATAGGAACCTAGTATTTGTCCTGTAGATTAACATCTAGCTGACTTCTGTGCAGATAACATTGGCTAAGCCCTTCCAGCTCTGCTTTTCATCTGAGGCTTCTATGAATGTTACTGGTCTGAGCCAGCTGCTACTGTCCTTGGTTATCTGTCCTAGAGCAAGAAGCTGTTTGTGCTTCTTTGCATGATTTGCTCTCAAGCTTTTAATGATCCATCTGATTGAGAATGAGGTTTAATGGCAGTTAGATCTTGAGCAACAACTATGTGACACAAATGTGTTTGCAATGAGTAAAAGTCATTGAAAATAACCCCGGTTAAACAAATGCTTAGCCTTCTTCTCCCCACTTAGAAGAAAAATAACTGATTTTAATTGGATTCACACATTTGTTCCTATTTTAGTTTCTTTATAGTATCTGCATTTGCAGATAATTATTTCAGTTTCATAGCTGAAAAAGTATCTTGTTAACTTGCCCTCTTTAAGGTCAACTGTGCTTTCATTAAAGATCAGCTTCTAGTTTAGGTTGGTTCTTTTGTCCTTTTTTAGGTTATTTTGGTCTAGGATGGTTCTTTTACTAGTAAAGCAAAACTATAAAGCCTATATAAGGTACACCTATTATATGATTTCTGCTAGGTGTTGGCTTCTAATAGGTTGCTGTCAGCATACACTGGTATTTCTTACTGAAAAAGTGTAATTTTAGCTGTTTCTGCAGACTACTGAGTTGAGTTTGATCTGTGGAAGAACAGATTTGCACTGTTGGCAAAGTGGTGGTTGATGAAATTGATGGAAATATCTCTAGTTTTCAGGATATTGACCTGGCTCTTGACTTTGGAAAAGATAACACGATACGAAACTTTGCCCTTTTCCAGCTTATACTGGACACTTTATTCGAGTATGTGGGAATAAATGTACATAAAAATCATCTGGAGTTTTGAAGTAAAGGGCTTGAGTCTTTGGTTATCAATTCACAGTGTTTCATCAGTTTTGACACTCTCAGCAGTATTCTGTTGTCCTGGAGGAATCTTTGCCTCACTTGATTACAAATCTTCCATTTTTTTCTTATCAAGAGAACATAAAATCAGATGGTTTCTGATTTTATGATTCACTGCAGTAATGAGAAAAGGAAAATGCTGCTTTAACTTGTTAACACAAGTGACTTGATTGCAGAACAATACCTCTAATTCAGAACCATTTATGTAAGTGATCAGATTCATTTAGTTGCCCGCTTTGAGTAAAGAAATGTTTAATGAGAATCAAGCTGTTACTGCTCTTACGCCTGATTTTTCTTCTTCGGGTAACTAAACCCACCACTGACAATCGCTGCCATTGTGCTAAAATTAGTGCACTTGTCTTTTCCTGTGGAGAATTAACTCATCTTTTTCTGCATAATTTTGCTAATAATGGTGTTTGTGTGTAGGTGTTTGAGTTGTGATAACCTTCAGCCACCCTCTTAACTTCCACTGCTTGCTTAGGTGGGACAGCATGCGTGGTGACCGGCCAGCCCTTTGACACCGCAAAGGTGAAGATGCAGACATTCCCGGACATGTACAAAGGCCTTGTGGACTGTTTTGTGAAAACTTATAAGCAAGTGGGGTTTCGAGGCTTCTACCAGGGAACCACACCAGCACTTGTTGCCAACATCGCGGAGAACTCCGTTCTGTTCATGTGCTATGGATTTTGCCAACAGATTGTGAGAAGAATTCTTGGAGTAGACAGGAAAACAAAGCTCAGGTTAGTAATAAAAATCTGCTTTACATTTTAAAATAAATAAACAAAAAATCATGCAACTATTGTATTGTCAGGGTGCAACAGATGTCCTAGACCTGCCTCTGCCAGTATGCATTGTAGTAAGCTTTGTGCTAGGATACGGTGCTTAACTGCAACAGAGCCATCTACTTGTCAGTGCAGCTGCCTAGTTTAGAAAACCACAACTTAACTGGAATACTTAAGACCTAGAATGTTCTTAACCAAAGGGACTGAGCATTGCAACACCTGAAGGTTAGTATTCCCTTGATCTCTAGGCTGTTCTGATTTTGCAGGGGAAGAAGTGGCTCTTCTCTTAGGGGGATGTACTAAGGGGAAAGAACACCTTTCTAATACTGTCTTTATTTACGTTTCAAAAGCTTGAATGGAATGGTGGCAAGACCGAATGTCTAGTTTTATGGTGTCACTGGCAATAAGTGGTTATCTGAAGAACGACAGGAGAAGGGAGTGTTTAATGCTCTGAGTCCTCTGCCAGGCTGTGTTCTTAGTTCAGAGGATTTATTTATCATGGTATGATCCCATCAGTAACTGGACAAGAGCACTTATCCAGTCTCCTCTAGAATTCTTGAAAGTTCCTTGCATCTGCAGTATGCTTTGGCAGAGTTCTGCAGGTGATAGTCATTAGTTCTGTAACCGTTGATCCATAGCCACCATCTGCATGCTGAGGTCTTGCAGACCTCTATCCATTGCTCTGTGCCCCTCTTCCCTACCTGAGTATGTTCCTGGATGGAAGGATCCCAGCCCTCCTAGCCAGTGGGCACTGAATCTGTTCACAGAATCACCAAATCATTAGGGTTGGAAGGAACCTCTGGAGATCATCTAGTCCAACCCCACTGCCAAGGCAGTGCCACTTGGAGCATGTTACTCAGGAACGTGTCCGGGCACGTTTTGAATATCTCCAGTGAGGGAGACTCCACAGCCTCCCTGGGCAGCTCTGCCACTCTCGATGTAATGAATTTCTTCCTCATGTTGAAGTGAAATTTCTTGTATTTTAGTTATGGCCATTGCTCCTTGTACTGTCACTGGGCACCACTGGAAAGAGTCTGGTGCCATCCTCCTGGCACCTGCCTTTGAGATATTTATATGCATTAATGAGATCCCCTCTCAGTCTCCTCTTCTCTAGACTAAACAGGCCCAGCTCCTGCAATCTCTTCTCATAAGAACGATGTGTAAGACAGATGTTCCTGTAGCCGTCTTTGTCTTTCTCTGGAACTCTGGTAATTGTACTGTGTCTGGGCTTCTAGTGGGTAAGACCAGAGCTGTGCAGGGTATTTAGGGTGTGATCACATCATGGATGTATGCACTGGCATAATAATCATCTCTTTCTAGCTAGGATGGCTTTTCTCCAGGTGCACCACTCTAGAGCCGTCAGTGGTCCAGCAGTCTGTGTGCCTTACTGTTGCCCATTTCTCAAGGTATGTCTTCTGTGCAGCACTGAGAGTATCTGCACCTTCTCCATCCTTGTGCTGTTCCACAATGTATAAAAGACTTCTCATACTGTCCTAACTCCGTTCAGAGAGTGATGCAAGGTTACCCACACTTAGCTTTTTATTAATAGTTGTGTTCTGCCTCTGTCACATGTATCCAAATAGAGGTAGCTGAGGAGGCCTTAAATTCTCCATTTAAGATCTCTGCCATGATATGGATAGCTAGCTAAGTACAAGACAAATATTTTGAAGTGGCATTGAGGTGTTCTTCTGTCACATATTGAGATATGCTGTATCTTAAAGACTGAGGCCAACTATGAGGGAATATGAAGTGATGAGGAAACAAATTATATTAGTTGCTTTCTACTTGCATTCTTTTTCACTGTTTTCTGGTAATTTGAGATCTCAGCTGAGACAACTGTTTCCACTTTCTTAGATGAGCTTACAGACCCCTTATCTTATTCTGTCCACTAAAATGAGGAAGCAGGCCTACCAACAGCATGCTCTGCTTCTTAACTGTTTTGTGATCCTTTTGGGAGGTAGACCACAGGTTTGCAGGGGTCCTAGGATCACCTCTTGATGTGACTGAGACAACATGTTTATGGTGCATGTAGGGGAGGTAGCGCAGGAAGCTTTCAAACAGTATGCATAGGTGTACTACTCCATGTATTTGGAGTAGGATGCAGAATGGGAAGTTAATTTGAGTATGTAGTAATAGCAAGTGCTTCTGACATCTGACCCTTCTTTCCTTGGTCAGGTAGTGGTACTTTCCAGATCCAGGATGGCTGTTTAATGCATCATTGATTGAAGAGCAAATAGTGTGACAGCATGGCTGTGCTAGGACAAAACACTTAAAGGGTTTAAGCTTACTTGAAAGATTTCTCCCTCTGTGCTGTTCTCTTGATCTCTTCATTTGGATCATTGTAGGGACATCTTAAAGGTGCATGTGTGAGAGAATTGTATTGACATGGCCTGCAGTGGTGCCCTGAGTACATGTAGCCTGTCCAGGACATTCATACTCATTGTGGGAGAGTAGGAAAGCCTTTGTAGTGTGCTGTAAGGGTGGAAAGAAACCCTGATGAGGTGGCTAACCTCAAGACATGACAAGTTAATAAGTATAATTGCCTTCATTGCCGCTGCTGTTTAAAAACTGTCATACTGTCTTAGCCTGAATAAGCAAATCTGTCAAGTCACAAACTGAGGTGAACCTGACCATTTTTCTTACCCATATATAAGAAATTCCTTGTCACTTTCCCATTATTTTATAATGTTTGAGATGTCTTAAATCCAGCTATAATAGTTTGGTTTTGCTCACTTTTCAGTTGTAGCTTTAAGCAACTTGGAAATAAGCTTCCCTGGCCTGCCCGTGTTTAGGGATACCCTGGTCAGAGTGTGAAGCCTTGCAAACAGTTACAAGGACAGTTACAAAACAACACTTTTTCGAGTTAGGGGAATAAATGCCACTGCTGCATGAATCAGAGAAAACAAATGGAGAGAAAAATGCTAAATTCTTTTTATCTTTAACATCTATTAGTCCAACCAAACATTTAATTCCATGCTAAAGTCTAAACTGAGATAACCAAATGGAAAGAGAAGTGCTAAAATCCATTTGTCTTTAAATGCCCGTTTAGTCTGACCAAACTGACCTCATTCTGTGCCGAAGTCTGAACTGGAATAACTCTTATCCTTGTTCACCTCAGTTTGACTCTCGCAGTACGTGACTGGTCATCTTCGGCACGTAATTTTCTTTGGCGGAAAAAGAAGTCCACCAAGATGAATGCCTTTGGTAGAAGCAGCAGCAGTGTAAGGGAAGGATTCTGGCTCCTGTGATGTGTGATCAAAACTCTCCCATCCAGAAAAAATACTGAATTAGGCATTGTGAGTTGAAAGGTAACTCAAAACAGGATTCAGGGCTTATCACTTCTGCAGTGAGGTTCATGGTATTAAAGACCAAAGCCTAAACAGTAGATCTAGTTGAATTTTTGTATGTAGAACTAAACATCAACAGGCAAAAGTAGAGAAGATCTGAATTATGGCTAAATCTATTCCTTTATGTACACGTGCCAGAATTCCTTTCATCTGATAGCATCTGATTTTTTTTCTCTCCTGAAGGACAAAGGATCCTGTACACTCTTAAGTGCATAGTTAGAAGGCACCTTCCATATTTTCTTATCCTTATTTTTCAGAGTGTAACCTTACTGCCTTGCTCTAGCTCATAACTTTATGACTGCAGGGCTCAGCCACATACTGTATTTTTAACTATGCATTTCTCTTGTCTTCAGCTTTAGTGGGTTGCATTTCAGATCCCTGTTCTGCCAAGCTCATGCTGCAAGAGGGCTGTGCAATCAATGTTGTCGTTTCTTATTTACTGCACATTATTCAGATGCTGCTCTGCAGGCAGTTACTGATTCCTCCCACTTTGACAGTTCTTATCACTGCCATATCTGAATATCTCACAAGCTTTGCTTCATGTCACAGCTTTAGTTCTGTGATGCTTCTTTAAGGCAAAAAGCTGTTAGCTTTAATCTCTGATACTACAGATGTATGAAACTGCTGGACACAGGGAAAACACCTCCTTTGTATGGAAATAATTTCTGTGTCCAGTGAGGTCAGGCTCAGCTGATTCCCCAGGAAAGAAGAGAGAAGCTCCACTTGTTCTGTGCTGTTGTGCAGGTCTTGTCTAGCACACCGGTGTTTGTAGGGGCCTGTTTAGAGCTATGTCATACTCATAAAGAAGTATGATTCTGAGTCTTTGAGGCCTGGCAGTTTAGCAGCCCAGACTTGATGATTTCACCACAAAGTAAGCCCTAGTTTTTTAATACTGTGACTCAGTGTAGATTACAGTGCTGTCTTGTTCAGTGGTGTGGTTTGTTTGTGCTGCCTCTGATTCACGTGGTTTTTTTCATGACAGCACATCCATAGAAATATTATAGTGGTCCCTTATGCCTTGCTTACAGATTTCTAGCATCTTCCACTGAAAACCTGTATTAATACTAGCAAGGTGACTTTAAAAACACTGATCTTTGTATGATGTGATTATTGTTCTTTTTGAGTACCAAGAAGTTGTCCAATAAAACAAGTCTATGGAAATATTTATAAAAATCTAAGGCGGCAAAGGTTTGATAGTGTTTATTGTGCAGCAGTCACTGAAGTGTAGCAAAAAGGGTAAAGGTTGGAGCTTATCTTCAAGTGTCTTAGAGCTGTGTATGAAGATGGAATGAGCTAGGTTTTTATCTGACTAGTTCAGGTAACTGATGTCTTCCTGGAGATTTTTGCCCTCAAACTCTGTCAGTTTGTCTTGATATTTAGAGTACAGGTTCAGGGAGCTGATCGCAGGTGCAGTGGCTCCACTGCACTCAGGGTCAGTGCCCAAATACCTTCAGCAATTTCTCTCTCATAGTGATCTGCAGAATGCTGCTGCAGGCTCCTTCGCCTCTGCCTTTGCCACCCTTGTCCTCTGTCCCACAGAGCTGGTGAAGTGCCGGCTGCAGGCCATGCATGAAATGCAGTTGTCAGGAAAGATAATCCAGGGACACAAGTAAGTATTCAGTATCTCTGAAACCCTTTTATGTGTATCTCTTATTTTTGTGTATTGGTTCAGGGTCACATTTGTAAGTGCACTGTTAACCAGACAAGAGCTGTGGGTGGGAGGGTTGCAGCCTGGGGATTTTTCATGTGTGGTAAAGCTGGATGCCAGTGAGGGGCTCCCAGCAGGCTCTTGTTCTAAGTCTTACCTGAATTCTTGTGTCTGTGCAATGGATCTAACCCTTAACTGTCACTGCAGTTGCCACTTGTTCTGTAACCTTCTCATTATCTGCCTATTAAACATCACTAACTGGATCAACCTCTCTATCAGTACAGTTTGGTCAGTAGTGAAAGGTGTTATTCAAAAGGATGGTCCCCTTGGATTTTACCGTGGCCTGTCGAGCACTTTGCTGCGGGAAGTCCCAGGCTATTTCTTCTTCTTTGGAGGGTATGAACTGAGCCGGACTTTCTTTGCCTCTGGGAGATCAAAAGATGAATTAGGTATGGTGCCTCTTTTTCCATGTGGATCTTAGCATGCTGTGTGGGGGACATAAAGGAGAGGGGGAGCATATCTTCCCTGAAAATACACTAATGAGGCATAGCAGCTATAAAGTACATGTAAATGAAGGAAACTGGGCATCAAGAATATGGAGTTCTGTGTTTTGTGCGTATATATAGTAATGAATTCTTGAAGTGACCACTTTGCAACAGAGCAATATTTTAAATGGAGAATAAATACAGTGAGCTAACATTAACACTATGAAACTACCTAAATATCTGACCCTGATGTAACACAACTCTGAACTATTTCATTTTGGCGGCTGTTTAAAGAGAATTTGAAGTCTTTAGCTATATTAAGTGTGTTCAAGTGCATGCTGAAATGTGTGCTGACCATTAGATGCAATGACAGTGATAGTGAGAGAACGCTGAAAATTAGACATGAACAAATGAGAGGCCAGAATAAAGATGGTTTGTCTCCTGCTGAAAGACTGAACAGTCATACTTTGTCTTGATGTTAAAATTTCAGTCAAGATTTCAGCTGCACACGTTCTCTTGTTGTAAATAAATATCTGGTCTGAAACACAAAATGAGGGTTGCATTATGAAAAATGACTCACCACAAAGTAACTTCACTGTACCAATAAATCTCTGTATAGGTGATTAGTGACCTTGTGTGAAAATGTTTAGAGTAACATCAGTTAGCCTTCGAAAGTGATTACAAGTGTGAAAGGAGAAGAGTTAATTTAGTTAATAGTCAGAAGAGAATTCCAAGTTACACTTATTTAGCGTGGCCAGTAATCTAAGCACTCCTTATAACCTTTGAGCTTTCTAGTTAGATTTGCAATTTACCAGTGGCTTAAGATTAACTTCAAGGCTTGTAGGGGAGCAGAAACTTTTGTCATAAGCTGGTTCCTTTGATAAGCAGGTTTTCTTCTATTTCTATAGATGAAATAAATGTGATATTTATGTTGGTGAATATTTCTGTGGTGGTTATAAAGCTTATTTCTTAACTTTAGGTCCTATTCCTTTGCTACTAAGTGGAGGTTTTGGAGGCAGCTGTCTGTGGATTGCTGTGTATCCTGTGGACTGTGTCAAATCTAGAATTCAGGTTCTTTCAATGGCTGGAAAACAGACAGGCTTTATGGGAACGTTTGTAACTGTTGTGAGAACTGAAGGTGAGTATGCAGCATATTGACTGCATCTCTAGGGCTGCACATTGAAATCTATACCCTCCCCAACACAAAAAAAATTGCTTAAGAAATGTCCACTTATAATGTGTTAGAGACACTTCTAACTAGCAGAAATACTGATGCCTTATGTAGTCTGGACAGCTTGGAATCTAGAAATTGAGACCATGCCTCTTCGTTCAGGAAACAATTCACATAAAGCTAACAAAAGCTCAATAGGCATTAAAAGCAGATAAAGGAATGAGCTCCATTCCCCACGACCAAACCTGTCCATGAAAATTGAAGGGACTGGTTCAAATTCAGAATAAAATTTTTTTCATCTCTAGAAGTTAATATATGGCTGACTGAGGGCTGTTTGATAAATCAGGCCTACCTAGACTGGCAATGTGGGGCATCTACCTCAGCGCCTAATCTCTGGAAAAGACCTGTGCCATGCGCTTCAGAAGACTTGAACGCTAGCCCTGGTGCTAGGGAAGATGCTCACCAGAGCAGGAGTCTGACCTGGGGCACAGCTTCAACATAGTCCTGCTGTTCTTTCTGTTCCCTTTTGCCTGCTGTGGTGGAGCTGCTGTGACCCATATCCTCAGGTGACCAGGGTGGCCTTCTGAAGACCCTGTCATACCTAAGATGAGCTTCAAACATAAGCACTTAAATGGCTAAACTCATGTTACAACTCTAGATGCTCTGGGCATATCAATATCCAGTAACACTGCAGTTAGCAGCTACACGAGTGAGTTCAGTGCTCTGTGTGCCCCTCAAGGCAGAAGCGTTACTTCAGTATCCTTTGAAGGTACAAGCAGTAGTTAATGCAGATAGGCAGGTAAATAAATTGCTAACTGGCTCCGATTTCATTTCCAGGTGTACTTGCCTTGTATTCTGGACTAAAGCCAACTATGATCCGTGCATTCCTGGCCAATGGGGCACTGTTCCTTGCCTATGAGTACAGCCGGAAACTTATGATGAAACAAGTAGATTCTTACTGACACCTTCTGACAGGTGGAGAATGAAAAGCTGCTTAAGGATGACTTAAGTAAAGGATCAAAAACCTGTAGATCACATCATGGTCTGAGCAGGGCCAAATCAGTGACCTAATTTTAGGAACTCAACTGCAGTTTAAGATTTGTAATCTTTTAAATTCAGATGATTTTATAGAGATATGTACATGCTGGTTGAATTGGCCCAGCAGAACTATCTGCATCTTGCAGATTCTGCACTAGATACATTACATGTCATAATGTATTTTCCTGACCTGTAATGGTGCTAAAAAAAAGACTTATGTTGACCTCCTGTTGGGTTTACTGTAACATGTAGCAGTGGGCTGTGACTTGTTCAAGCAAAAGCACTGCTTCCAAGGCTGTGCTGTGGTGGCGAATTCTCCCATTGTTGCTAGCAAGTGTCTGACTTGAAAGAACAGCAGTCATATCTAATCTTGGTGAATATGGCTGACTTATGCAGATCCCTCAGCTTGACTCCTGCCCTTCTTCCCTGTGACTTTCCAAGGTCACAGCAGTTGGTGTCTGCCTGTGTACTCTGCCCAAGTAAATGGGCTTACAGAAGTAGGAAGTGTTCACACCCTGCCTTGTACTTACCTGACTTATAGTCAGAGATCTGCCTGCATTTGAGATAAAGACATGTAGTTACTGGGTTTAAGGAGTCCATGCAGCATTTCATTATTTTCTGAATCTTTTCAAGTGCTGGAGTATGCTGAGCACCTCTGAATTGAGCACTTAAACTAAGGGAGACTGCTGGAAATAGCAGCTGGCTTTGAGCACAGAATTGTAACAGTGCAAGCTTGTGTTTGGGTCACCTTGACATGCATGAGTCCATGTGCTTGAAAGATGGGATGCCAGAGAGGAACAGGAAGCCAGAACTGAGTTTTTAAAAGCAACTGATGCTATGGTCTCTGTGGTGTAGCATGCATTTCCTTGGGCTGGAGTCCTGCCATTTGCTGTGTCTATTCAGCAGAGTGGAAAAAGCTCATATGACTGGATAGCTTTTATCACCTTCAGGCCTGGGGGCATGCCTGCTTGGTCACGCTACTTAATGAAATACATAGTTAGCGTTACCCAAAATGATGTTATACCTATTTCTAGATGCCACTTTAATTTTTTTAAAGAGGATGCTCTTTATACAAGCATGCTCTGCCTTGCAAGAAGCAGCTACTGCAAAGGCAGAGCAGGTCTCAGCAATACAATTCAGGATTGAGGAGTTGTACAGAGGGATGGCTTTAGGTTTTAAGTGTCAGTCCGTGCCTGTGGAGAACACAGAGCCATTTGACCCACCACACTCATCAGTGATATGCAGAGAGTAGCAGCTCGTCACAGCAACCAGAGTTTGTCAGTGACTGGCAACAGCCACAGCTTGGTTCTGCATGTTACAGTTCTCCTTTCAGATTCTAGAAATGGGAAAAAGCTTTAGGTACAGATGAAAGCATCTCAGTACCTGCTGCCTCTTGCAGTGGAGCCAGGGTTCACATAACACTGCACTGTTACAGCCTTCTTGATGAAAGGCATGTGCTGCAGTTCCACAAACTCTTCTTGCCTCTCCAGCCTTCCTGTGCAGCAGGAACTGTTCATCTCCCTTTCATACACCCATGAGAAGAAGCAGTTTTAAAGCAGGGCATGGCTGAAGAATCTTCAGTGTCTACTGCACCAATTTACCTTGCTTGACTGGTGCACATGGGGAATGATACTGTGCATCATCAGTACTTTATACCAAATGTTCAAATAATTCAGGTAGGAAGATGAGGCTTTAAGAGAGTTGCTAGACTGTCCCTTTCCCCAGTTGTACTATTTCTCTTGGCTAGACATTTGTATGTGCTTCTGACAGTTACAAAAAGGCAAGGACTGACTCCACAGCAGTGGAATACTTCAATCTATTTCTTAGATTTGTCTTTGCTTTCATTTTTTAAAGCTCATGGTTGCAGTTTTTAATACAAAAATTGAAGCTTCAAAAGAAGCAGGATATTTAGAACTGAACCTACAATAAGAAGCCCGTGGCTGAAATAAACATGCAGTTTGAGAGTTTCTCTTTTGAAGGTGATGCAAGCAGTAATTTTTATGGTCACAGCTACTTCAGCTGTAACATGTATCAGTTGTTCTGCTAAAAACTTCATGATATTGGTACAGGATTTCATGGGAATAAAGTCTGATTTGATTAACTGAGTGCCTGACAGTTGTTTGTGCAACAGTGCTTAACAAGCTTGTCTTGCTGAGGTGCAAAGAGAGGTTGAAGTCAGTATCACTACTCTTCCCGAATCGAAGTGCTTTCGCAGTCAATGGATGGGAAAAGACCTTAAAACCACAGCTCTAACAAGGTGCTGTGAAACAACTGCAGATTTTCCTTAACCTACTAGGGAAAATAAAGCCTCTAGTTTAGCTTTTGGCCTGGTACTTTGTTAATACCAGTCAGTTGTAATATTAAGGTTCAACTCAATTTCCAAGTTCTTAGATTGCAGATTGCCATGATTCACACTGTAAGGGTAAGTCCTGCCAGCATTACCATCTTCTGAGCAGTGGTTCTTGGCTCTCAGGAAAAATGTAGTATCTCCCTTACACAGTTTGTTACTCATTCCTGTTTAAACAGGAATCAACAGCAACCTTACTTGCTGTTCAGCCCTCACTGCTGCTACAAGAAGAGATTAGTTTACTCCACAGGCAGGAAGACAGCTGTCCTTAACTGCCATACAAGCTCTCAGAAAGGGCATCCTAGGACAGCAGTATCAAATTGCCTGAGCTAAGCCAAAAAACTCAATCATCAGCCAGTTCTGGCTACAGTAAAATGACATCCTCTTCCAGCTCCTAGTACATTCAGTGCAGGCAGACCTTGGCTGCCTTCTTGCACCATCGCCCTCTACTGATGCAGCTGTGGTCACTCCTGTGTAAGCAGGAATCTCTTCCTTTTCTCTAACCAGAGATAAGGGTTACATTAACTTTGCCAGCTCACCCCTTGGCCTTGAGGAGCAGCTTACCAGGTTTATGTGCAACACATGCAGTCTCTTAAACACCACTAGTCTGGGGAACAGCACTGCACAATTGAACCTTTGCAGCAACGGCTAAGCTGTAGCAGCAGACTCCACAGCCAGCAAATCAGTTCTGACCCTCTGCTCATACCTATCACAGCTGTCAGAGCAGACACAGAATCCCACATCTAATTTCATGCTCCCAATACAAGAAGAGCAGTGACATAGTGAAGCAAGTCAAGCAGAGGCCAAGGATGGATAGTGAAGACCGAGTTTGCCCACCCATAACAAAGCTGAGGAGAGCTCTTGCTGCCACCTACAGTTACTTCCTTTATGGGAGGGGATAGAGCTAGGCTCTTCTGGAGATACACAAGAGCAGGACAAGATGCAGCAGCTACAGTCTGCAACATGCAAAATCCCAGTCTGGAAGGAAAAGCAGTGATAAAGTCTTGTGTGAGAACCCTATCTAGGGAGATATTGATTCGGAGAAAACTCCAGGAACAAACTTGCCAACAAAGTTTTCAAGCTGACAAGCAGGTATTCTTTATTGCGGCGCCGGGAGACACGGGGGATATATACATAACTAGTTTGTGAGCCACCTCTAGCTGGGCCTGTTTTGCAAAGGAGCTTGGGCTACATGTGACACAGGCTCACTCTATCCTGCACCTAGAACTGCAGACAGTTGGTGGAATACTGTTGGTCATTCAAGCCTCCACACTTGAAGTACAGTACTGAAAGCAGCAGCTTCCAACTCTGAGAGCTTCCAACAGCTGATTCAGAGAAATCTTACTTCATTAACTAACTAGGTATTAACTGTGGAAAGCTATGTCCCTCCCCCCCGTAACTCTTGGATCCTAACAATAAGACAGCTACAGAAGCAACAGCTCAACACATGCTTCCCATCAAGGAAGACACAAACAGTGTGCTCACAAACTGATGAGATCCAGGGTTTGGGCATATGGCCATCTCAGCCCTCTGCAGGGAAGAGCAGCAGAGGAGCAAACCACCCCCAGAGTCAGCTCCCAGGCTAAGTATTTCTCAAAACCCTACAGCACTGGATTTCTGATGAGAAGTGGTTCAGTACCAAGACCTCTACTGGCACAGGTAGACAATGTCTCCCTTCAGATTCCAATATTCTACTAACCTGTGGAAAACCCTGATCCTGAAGGAAGGTGTGTCAGATTTTTCCAGCAGCCTCTTGCAAACTGCTGGTCTCCACCCACCATCAGGTTAATGTTCTTGAGGACAATTGTCTTAGCTTAATAAAGAAGGGATTACCTGTATGTAGAAACATCTAATCGCCAAAGGATCCAAAGCTCATTGGCACGACAGTCAGCTGACACTAAGTACCTCTTCAGAGTATTATTGCTCTGCACAACAGAACTTCATGTAAATTTATTTGACAAGCTGTATCTACCCAGAAATACATTAAGTACATCAAAACATAACTGCTTCATTGTATACTGAAGCAGCAAGATTCTCCAGGAAAAGAGATTAATTTTACTTGTTTCCCTTTTTTCAGGTTTTTTTTTTCTCCTTTTTTCCCTTATGGTTCAATAAAGTTCACCTCCACAGCAAATGTCTCACTATAGACTTTCCAAGTTTTAGACTTGTGAGGGTTATCCAGCTCATTCCTGGGAAGGTAGAGTCTGAAAGACAAAATTCAGCAGCACGTCTTACAGCCTAAACCACAGTTTTCCTTTGTCAGCCAAGAGAAATCCAAGCTCAGCCCTAGAATATTAACAATAACCCTAGATCTTTAATTCAGACAGACAGAAGCCATGCCCCTCTGCACAGGGCTTTGGATCTGATCTAGCTCGAGAAACAGTCAGCTTCACAGGTTTGTGGGTCAGGGTCCTCTGCCCCACAAAGCAAGACTCTTACAGTAACATCTGTGTGTGCCACATTCAGCTAGAGGCCTCCCAGTGGGATGCGTGTGGCAGGAATTGAGTGACTGACCTTCCTAATAGCAAGGATTCAGCTCAGTGCTGATCAAGTTCATCAGGCATGTTCTCCACTTTTAATATTTCCCAAATTCATGTCTAGTTATTACTTAATAGCACCTGCACATCAGCTCTGGCTGAGTTTGAGATACCATGGCACTGCCGTAACAGCCATTTGATTTCTGACCAGGCCTAGTGACCTTAGGTCTATCAGAATTCTCTAGACAGAAAGGGAAATGCTGGCTCAGCAAATTAGGTTTGGAGTTATGAACATACTTATGGCTATTGCTCCTCATGCTCTGATGGGATCAATTAAATTAAACTTGTTTCCTTCCTGTTCCTACTATGGATAACACAGTATTTATCCTTATGTGAAATTTGCTGTTCCTCTAAATCTGGCTAGTCTGGTAAACAGAAGAGAACGATCTCCTGTCTCTGCCTCCTGTTTCTACATCACTTCCCTAGAGAGGCAGACAAGACCAACTTGCACTGGCTGGAGCACCCCCAGGAGTTCTAATCTCAACAAGAGCAACCACAGTCATTCCTAATAAAAGCATGAGAAGCAGTCAAAGAGCCTTTCTTTGGAATCCCAAGCATCAGTACCTCTAACTGGTCTTAATGTTTACCTGCTAAGTTGCTGAATGAGTTCCAGCCTCTCAGGCAGCAATGCTACAGAGAATGGCCAAGTTGCCATTGGTTTGAAAGTTAGCATTACCTTTTTGAATTCAAGTTCATTAATAACGGAATGTTGAGGAAAGTCTAATGGATTAAGTTGATTCAGATATCACATGTTTAAAATACTTGGCACACTGCAAGCAACTACGTACCAACTGCCTGCTCTTAAGTTCCAGCTGAGAGTCAGAAACCAGTACCCACACAGAAGCTACAACAGGCTGGACAAGCCAGCTATCTCAGCTATTAGTACTGTGCTTATGAACTTTTAGCTCCATTCAGACACTAAAAGTTAGGATCTCAAGGCAGTCACTACGATTGCTTACCTGTTATTTTCAATAAAGGAAGTGTTGAACCAGAAGAAGAATGGGCAGTCATCATAGCCTTTTGGGAGATCCTAAGGACAGAGACTCTGTTAGACAATAGGACTTTCTGGCAGAGCATGAGTACCCAAGTACCCACCCATCCTCAGTAGTTTAGTTTACAAAGCTAAAGTGCCAGGGGCAGTACACTTGAAGAACCCAACATCACACCTAGATCACTGTTTTCTCTGAAGGAGGCCTACAAGAAATCTGGAGGGAAACTTTTTACAAGAACATGTAGGGATAAGACAAGGGGAACTGCTTTAAACTGAGAGAGACTTACATTAGATATTAGGAAAGAATTCTTCACCACAGAGGTGATGAGGCAGTGGCACAGGTTGCCCAGAGAAAATGTGGCTGTCCCATCCCTGGCAGTGTTCAAGGCCAGGCTGGACAGGGCTCTGGGCAACCTGGTCTAGTGGAAGGTGCTCAACTATCCTGTCTTTGTTGTACTATATGAACAGCCAGATGTCTCCCCTGCCTGCATAGGATGATGTAGCAACTTTTGTTGCACCACTCACTGCAGTGGGGCCAGGGGAGGAGCAGGAGTCACTGGGGAGGAGCACAGATCCTGCCCCAGACAGCACAGCCAGCACCCAGCTGCAGTGCAAACCACAGCCTTTTCTCATACTCAAGCAAAGATCTTTACACTGTTACACTTACTGAACGTGATTCAAATCTGACTTTCACATCACCACTTATGACAGGGCTGTCCTCCAAGCCAATGACTACAGAGTCACTTTCAGCATCAAAGAAGATCTAGATAACAGAATGAAGTGTTAGTTTTATGAAAAAATGGCTGCAGAGAGACAAGGGACCAATTCATGGCAGTACCTTGCTACTCATTCATGGCATACAAATATAATAGCAGTGCTATAGTAAAAGACAACAATTTCAGCTACTTAGAGTGAGCTATTTGCATTTAAGTGACTTTTAGGGAAATCTTTTGTAGGAGAGTAGTGGTAAGATAGTGATTTAGCAAAGCTTAGCTTTTTCATCCTCTCAGAATTTACAACATTTAATCTGACAGTTTTACATCCAATATTCAACTTTTACAGGAAGACACTTCTGACCTCTAAGTCAGCTTTCATCTTCTGTGACTCAACTGACATGATTTCATAGCGCTCACCTTGCAGTTTCCTTGACTGGCACATATACATTCTAGTACAACTTGCTTCCTCACTATCACCTGCACCTTCATATCAGTTCCATTGCCTTTCCC